AGACGATTACACATAAGTAGATTAGTTAGTTGTATCTTTAGAAGAGTCAGGCACAATGAAGCCTGTAGGCGTCAAATTTTTTTCCTTACCTTAAGGATGTATACGTATTTTAGGGCTCGTTGCATTAAGACAGTTTGCAATTAAACGTAATCTGCGTTTAAGTGTTTATGTCTTATATTAGTTTTTTAAATTTTGCATGGACTGTAGTGGTTTTTGGTACGTTTGAACTATTTTCATTGTATTTAAATCTGTAATGGTTTGATAGAGCGCCTCTAATTAATATCCCAATGTTGAAAATGAAATCGCTATCTATATGTATACAACTTCTGTTTTCACTGCTAATGGAATTTCGATTAGCTATTAAAGAATACATCAATGTATCAAGTGCATAAATGCTATTTATTACATTGAAGTCAACGACATTTCCTTCTATGCATCACAAAAATCTTGACAAGACAAATATATATTTTTTAATATTATTTATGTGAAGGTTAAAAAAATACTAAATTGGTCACATTTATTCAAATGGATAATAATTAAGACTAATTTATTTCTATTTAAAATGGAATAGAATGTAAAATTATGAGATACTCGATTTGTGGAATGAGAACACTACGGCCGTGATTGATTTTTTGTGTTCGTTTATAAAAATTTATTAAAAGGTTTATATCATTTTGTTTCTGTTTCTGTTTTTTTAAAAGAAAATTTATTAAATTCAACAATATCACGCAGTTAAAACTTATAGCAATTTTTTTATTAATCTTTATTCTAAAATTTTTTTCAGTGTAGAATTATGAAAAGAAAATTAATGCTGTTCAAAAGCACAGATGAACAATTTTGAAGTTTTTAAGTTATTTTTAATTAAAAAAAATAATATATAAGCTAAATCGAAACACTTTAATTGTTGTTAAGCTTATTGCATTAATATAGCTTGTATAGATTTGCATTCCCATAAACAATCGGTTTATTTTCGCACTCTCCGGAGTCATTAGAAAATATTTATGAATTGGGGAAAAGTAGAGTTGCTAGTTAAATGAATCTTTTACAAATAAATTCCTAAGTTGATATGTGTCCCAATATCTACTGAAATGTGTCCCAATAACTTGAATTCGCCAATCCTTACGGACTGTTCTGATGTGAGTCCAAGAAACAACATGATGGTGACTTTGTTACTATCTATAAAGAACCCCATTTGACTTGATATATTGTACGATATGCTGTAAATATATAATTAATGTATAATAATATATTAATTTTTGTTTGTTATCTGAAGAAAGCAAAAGGAATGATATTAAGAAGTAACTATAAGTATGTGAGAATCAATTTTTAATCAACTCAACATAACCGTACACTTCATAAACTCACTATTTTATATCAAGACATAATGGTACTCAGTGGTCATATATGAAAATAAGAAAATAACTAAACCTTCTCTTATATGTTAATATCAATAATATCTCAAGCATTGGCGTATACGAGTACCTGATTGAAGCAACTTTATTTACAAATTAAATTACTCAAAAAATACTCGGATTTTGCAAATAAAACACACAAATTTAAATTTTATTCCAAATTTATTAAATCTCCTTCAAAATATGCTCCTTCTGAAGCGATACACATATGCCAACACTTAATCCAATCTTCCATACACTTTTGGTAGGCCCGTGAAGGTATGGGTTTTAGTTCTTTCAGCGAATTTGATTTTCGGGAACAGGAAAAAGTCGCACGGATTCAGATCTGGCGAATATGGTGTCTGACCGATGACAGTGGCGCCGTGTTTGGACAAAAAATCGGGTACAACAAGAATTTTCCATAGTAAAAATCGCTAAATGCACTTGAGGTAGTCTCACATTAACAGCTGCTGTAAATAGACTAATTGACAGATGGCGCTCAAATTTTTACCACATGTCAATAAAGGTCTATTGAAAAAGGTCTATTGCTTAAGGATTAGTTAACAAATAACAAAATCCGGATACTTTTTGAGCAAAAGGTATTCTTTACATATAAATTCAAAATTTAGATTTTTTATAGATAAAATTTAATAAAGATTTTTTGAACGTCTTGGAAGTGACACCTTTTCAAAGTGTGATTGTAACACACGGGAACCTGGTTGTAAACTTCAGTCATAAAAACAAAGATCTATACTGTTAATATTAGTAACCAACTTCTCCATAAGTATTGTTCAGAGTATTAATAACATTGATTATGTCACACAAAATTCTATTGAATTAGTTATAACTAGTTACAATGATATGAAAATATATTTATATAAATATAGGCTTTTATATAGAATGAATAAACAGAAGAAAATAACACTAGGTAAAGTAGCTTCAATATTACAATTTATTAAAAAATGTGGACTCAGAGACGTACTCAATCTCTAGAAGGTATTTAATACAATTTCAGGCTGCAGTGAAAAACTGTCTCACTCAATAATAATATTAGTAATATTGTATTTTGGTTAAATTATGATTAATTTTTAAGATTCCGGCATTATTGAAGTCTATTTAGCATTACTATTTTATAAGACAACTAATTATAAATAAATAAGTATTTGTTAATATGAGTAATTAAAAAAATAGAAAATTTCTGGGAATTTTTTTATTGTAGGGCTCAATAATAAAGCAGACAATTCAGAATGTATTTAAATTTAATAGTTCATACTTACACGTGAAGTATTCACAATAAACATTTGTGAATACATGTTTGCATTCGAATTGTGGGACTGCCACGCCTACAAGAAAGAAATAATTGTGTAAGCATATAATTGATCTTTGCTTTTTGAAACTTACTGAGTCGGTAGAGACCGACTTGAACTTTATTCCGCAATAGGATATATAAATATATAGAAAATACGTATAAAAAATTCTTTCGACATTTACTTCTAGATTTATATAAGATTATTTATTTCCTTCTACTCTTAATACTTTTGTGATCAGTTTGAGAAGTCAGTAAAATGACGATCAAAGCTTAATAATTACATAAAATCATGTCACAACATGTCTTAGATACATACTATTACACAAATGTGCCCCCCATTGGACCTCAAAAAAGTTTCATTTGAAAATCGGACATGTGGTTCCTATATTTCGACATCGGATTCAATAAAGGTTAAGTCAAGAAAGCATCCTATGCACCAAAACTTAAATCGGGTGATGACACTTAAATGGATTTAAAAATGGAAATTAAACCATCAGAACTAAATGTGAAAGTTAGCGGTTTTCAAGCTAAAAATAATGGCCAAGTTACTATTAAATGTGTTACTTCGAAGAACCGTGAAAAAGTTAAGTGCCCAATATATTAACGAAACACACGCGCTTCAATACACCAAATTATTTATTTCGAGTATCAGTTAAAAGGTAGATAACGCAGAGCTAGTACTTGCAATTAAAAATTAGAACAATATTATGGTTCAACCCACAAAACATTTATGAAAGCCAAAAATTTCTAAATCTTCATTAACTTTTCATTAAACTGGAAGCTGAAAACATTAACTACTTATTAAGCAGGATCACAAATCACCTATTAATATTTTTTCTAATCAACGGCGTGGTATTAATGTGCTTCATTTTGATTCAAGAACCCTTTTTGAGCTATAATTAGACTATGTAGAAAGCGTTTCTGAAATCTCCAAATTAGATGTTATTTGAGTTTCTGAAACATGGTTTAATCACAACATTAGCAGTGTTTTTCTTTCTTTAAGTGGTTTTAAATTATTTAGGCCTGACAGGAAGCATAGATTAGATGGCGGGGTTGATATTTTATGTAAGTCACATTTAAAAAGTCAATTAGTGTCTGTCTCTATGGAAATTGAAATTGAATACATCTGTATGAATGTGCCAATAAGCAAGTACAAAAATTTGATAAATTGTGCCTATAACCCTAACAAAATATTATGGTGCGATCCCCTTTTTAATACCCTTGTACCTATTGCCCTTAACTTTGATTTCGTTGCAGTATTTGTCAATATTGATTTTCAGCTAAATTCTGCTAAAGCAGCTTAATGAAATGACCTATGTATGAACTAAGACGGATCTAAGTGTTGCAATTGCCCACTAGGTGTTGCAACAATGTACGACCAAATCAACTTGATTTAATTGCTGTCTCTGACTTAAATAAAGTCTTGTTATTCGAACTTTCGATTTCGTTTGTGTTTGACTACGACCTATCATTTGTATTTTTCGGTTATATTTCGATTAAAAAATGTACTCCCAGTTAGGTGTCTTTCTGGGACTTTAAATCTCTTGATACTCGCATTTTGTACAGTGAGCTGAATTAGTTGGACAGGAATGAGTGCTAGCTAAGTGCATCAGTCTATAAAAAATTGAAAGCTTTTTATATAAGATTAAAATCGAATTCGATTGGTTTTGATAAAATTCATTTGAAGTTCTTAAAATTTACGCTTCAAACAATTATTTCTCCTCTGATACATATAATTAAGCACTGTTTTACTACTTCAACATTTCCTAGTGCATGGAAAAAATCATTCCAATTAAAAAAAGGTTGAATGCATCGGTATGTTTTGAATATCGCTCATCTAGCATTCTTTCCTTTCTCTGGAAGGCATGTTATACCGTTTTCAGCTTCTCTTCCCTCTGAAATCTGAATTTAGGAAAGATAATAGCTTCACGATTTTTATGTTAAAAGTGCTTGAGTATGTTCGAAAAAGCTATGATAAAAACTTGTCCATGTCTATTTGATTTTTCTAAGGCTTTTATTCGCATTGATCATTCTTCGCAAAAACCTCTTTAACGACTTCTTATTTTCTAAGTCGGCGGCAAAGTTTATCTTTAGTTATTTACTGGAAGATCGCAATTTGTTGTGGTACCGACTGAGTTTCCGACTCTTAAAACTCTTCACACAGGAGTTCCTCAGGACCCCTGAGGAGTCAATTCTGTGTCCAGTCAGATATTTTATTTTTATTCGAGTTTTCCTAGAAAATTTAACTTTCCTGTCAAATAATTTTTTTAAATATTAGTATATTTATTTATGTGTTGTATTAAAAAAATATGTATAAAGAGTGAGTTTCCTAATTCACTCTTCGAAAAATTTACCTATTTTTCTGAAATCAGCAAAATTCAAAATTCTAGTTAAAATTGCAACTCTTCAAGGTCTGATGTGGGTCTAATATCTCACAACCGTACTGCTGCTGTTTGTTATCAATTCATTTAATGGTAATTTCTTAAGGCCCCGTAAGGTAAGGTTAATGAGTTTCAATAATTTCTTTGGAGACAAGAAATTATTTTAAAGAAATTTAATTAAAATTAAATTTCTTTTTAAGTGAATCTGACATTAAAGTAACATATAGGACAGATGCGCAAATGTTGGACAAGTCCCATCAATACATGAATGGATACTGAAGTTTTGATTATGAAATAATTTATTGTAGAATTGCGCAACACGCTTACTTGGTAAGTGAGAAGTTATATTCTATTTTCTCTATCTTTTTAAATTTCACCTCATATTGGAGTAGAAATAATAAATCGAATAATTTATAAACTTGGCATTAAGTTCATGAATCAATTGTTGTGAAGACGATCCAAAAAGCATATACAATGGCTGTAGATTTGTAAGTACATGAAATTTAATAACTTTAGTTATCCTTTCTGAATTCAAACTTTAGTAGTCTCTTGTTTATGGAAATAATGGAATCACACTCAAAAATAGTCGATTCATTAATAAACTTCATTTACGGTACATACCATACATGTATTTAAAAACAAACCGTTAACGAATAATGTTTTCATTAATTATTTAGATAATGTATCGAGGGTTGTAAGTAATTTGGACTTGGTTCACATTATCTTATGTACTTACCCAATTCTCACCATATCATAAAGTGCAAGTGGATGTTCAAGAAACGTGTCAAAAAGCATAGTTTGAGTATGTTATTTATAAGACTTCCTAAAAAATAAGCGATGAACTAGTTAATCCTATAATCCTATTTGCAGTGGGTGTCACTGTCAAGACCGGAGTCGGTATACGGGTACGTGAATAAATCTTATGACTTTGTAAGCCAAAACGAACAAAACATTCTGACACTTTTTCATTAGGAATATGACGTCATAAATAGCAGCAGGAAAAAGTCAAGGCTTTTTTAAATATTTGGTACTCATTTAGACGATAAAAATTCTGATATAAAAAATATATTTTTTACCATCGGCAATAAAATTTTAAATAGATTTAAAACAAATCTTTATACTTTTTTCTAATTGCGTTACTCTCTAATATATACTCTAATATATAAAATGATGATTGGTGTACTATCTTTTAAAGGTAAGTGCTAGATGGGATATTTTAAAATGGGGTATATGAAAGGAAAAAAATGTACTCCATCCCAATATTCAAACAAAATTGGATTTAATCGTAGAGTTATTGACATTAGGGCAAATTATATTATTAATAATAATTATTAATAATATTATTGATAATTAAATCAATACAAAATTATATATTTTTGAATAATATTAATAATAGATGAGCTTGAAATATTAATTAAATGTTTGGCTTAATGTTATAGAAAGGATACTAAATTAACCTTATATTTGCATATTATGGATAGGCTGTGCATGCACTGCGATCTCAAGGATCTATTGTGGAGATATTATTTTCACGATGCGTTAATGAATATAGTATTTGATTCCGCTGAACTTTGTATCGGTGATATTTTAAACACTATTCCTTCCATATTGCACTTCATGCTTTACCTGAAGGATATAAGCAAGAATCTTTTGACTTAATGTTTAATAAAAAATATTAATATTAATTATTATTATTATTAATTATATTCGAATTCCAGATATTAGTTTATATCTAGCGATGATATCATCCCTTATGTTGGATTTTATGCATTATCTAATTGCGGGCAAGTCTCTTAGATGTAAGTCTATTTTACAATAAAATGCCAAGGACTATGACTACATATTTCAGTAGTTGTGATATTCAGAGCAATATTTGGTTCCTATCGAAATAATCGTTTTGTGAATACTATACGTAGATTTTTTTTCTTTTAATATATCTATTTATTTATTAAATCTAAATTATTTTAGATTATTTTTAAATTTTATTAAATTATTTTATAACAAAAGTGTTCAACAAGTATTCAATTTTTAAAAACTGAAGCAAACAAAATTAACTGACAAACATAGTTATAGTTGATTGATATTATTAATATTATTATATTATTAATTGATATTGATATTTAAATTCAGAAAGTTATTTCATTAGTTTAAAAAGAAATGAGAAGAAATGAAAATATGAAAGTAAGATCATTGCGTTGGTACCTCTTTTTTGCGTAATCTTGAAGAACGCCGGGACAGCAGTAGATGCCTTACCAAGTGGTTCGGATGAATTTCAAGTTTTTGTTTGTATTTGCAA